TTGACCCAGGACCTACCGTGGAGCTGATGTGCCCACTGACCATCGACTGGTCGTCTGTAAGATGCGCCTGCCGTTCTTCCACTCCGGTGGTGGGTGTACACCCATGACCCCATTCAAACCCACAGTGGCATGGTCTCTGCTAGCTGATGAAAGTTGCAAGCGAAAATTGCATCATCGCTTGCGGTTGGGGTTGGCATCGTCCCACCTTCCTTCTGATGTCGAGGGGAAATGGGCGAGGTTTAGGACTGTGGCTCATGCAGCTGCATTGGGTACACGGTCCAAAGCTCCCCAGAAACCCTGGCTGACAGAGGAGGTGTTCAGGCCCAGTCTCTGGATCTCTGTGGGTATCTATGGGTCTCTATGGTTCTATAGGAGTCTATGGATCTCTATGGGTCTCTATGGTTCTGTAGGAGTCTATAGGTCTCTATGGGTCTCTATGGTTCTGTAGGAGTCTATGGGTCTCTGTGGGTCTCTGGTTCTTTGCGAGTCTCTGGTACTTTGCGAGTCTCTGGTACTTTGTTGGTCTTGGTCAGTTTGGTAGTTTAGGGCTCTGTTTAAACGAGCGGATGCTAAATGCTGCCAACTCAGTCACCGACTGCCCCCCCCCCGCGTCAATGATTAACGGGGACACGGACCTTGCTTGCCATCCCCTCCTTGTCACGGGCCGTGGACCCCTGCGGCCACGTGGCCCTCCGTGAGTGGGGGGGTCCCCTCGTTGACGCGCCCCCCTCACGGCGGGGAACAGGGCTAGCGGCACCGCCGCCCCCACCGCTGCGAACAGTCCAGAGCGTCTAGAGGCCAGCCGCACACAGCACTAAGCACAGAAGGGTGCGGGTTGGTTGGCCGGGTGTTGTGTGTGTGTGTTGGGTGTGTGTGTTGGGTGTGTGTGTGTGTTGGGCAAGTATATGTGTGTTTTGGGTGTGTGTGTGTTGGGTGTGTGTGTGTTGAGCGTGTGTTTGTGTATGTATTGTGGGTGTGTGTGTGTGTTGGGTGTGTGTGTGTTGGGCGTGTTTTTGTGTGTGTTGGGCGAGTGTGTGTGTGTGTGTTGGGCGTGTTTTTGTGTGTGTTGGGCGAGTGTGTGTGTGTTTTGGGTATGTGTGTGTGTTGGGCGTGTGTTTGTGTGTGTATTGTGGGCATGTGTGTGTTGGGCGTGTTTGTGTTGGGGATGTGTGTGTGTGTTGAGTGTGTGTGTGTGTGAGATACGTGCCGGTCTTAGCGGTGGTTGAACACAGTGGTGGTGGTGGTGGTTGTTTAACATAGTGTGGTGGTGGTCCACATTTCACAAGCCCGCATGCCCAGCCACCGCATGCCCAAGCAGTTTCTATTTAGTCGCATAGAGAGGGCTAGAAATGGGCTAGAGAAGAGATGGAGTGATGTGGTGCAGGAGGACGTGGAGCTCGGTGGACTTGCCGATGACTGGTACCAGCGGTGTCAAGATCGGCCTCGGTGGAGGAGGCTCGTGAAGGACGCTACTGGGCAGTTGGAGGCAGTCGCCCTCCAGCAACAACGCAGGGCGGAGGAGCGACGCTCACAACAACGAGCTGGAGCTCCGGGCGGATAAAATGTAGCAAATTGGCACAGTGGGGAGGCACAGCTGGTGCATCGGTCATCTCAGTCAGCCAACCCGTGGCACTTGCTGGGTCTGTCCCGAGGCCTCCTGTCGGTGAGCCTTGGACACTTCACGTGGCCTCAAAGTGCACCTGGCCTGGCACAAGCGCCGTGGTGTTGTGCAGATGCCACCACCGCCATCTATTGCGGTTGAACTCATGACTCGGTCTGAACAGGCAACTGGACTTATGGACAGGTTTGTTCGTATCTCTGAAAGTTCACAAGTCGAATGTTGGTGAGTCGAGTAGTCTCTGTAATTGGACATTATAGCAGCAAAATAATCTAAATAATTTCACTACCCCTCCCCTCCCTCCCATCCCTCCCCACCCCCCCTCCCTCTCCCTCCCTCTCCCTCCATCCCCCTCCCATCCCCCTCCCACCCCCCTCCCATCCCCCTCCCTCCCATCCCATCCCACTCCATCCCCCTCCCACCCCTCTCCCTCCCTCCCTCTCCCCCCCTCCCCCCTCCCCCCACCCAGGCCCGGGGTCTGGCCTCCCCGCTGCGTCTCCCCTCCGGCGTCCCCCACTGCCTGTGCCTGGGCCCTGCGGCCCTCTCCCTGGTGGCGGTGGCGGCCACGACCCGCGGCCCCACGCCGGCGCCGCCGCCGCCGCCGCCGGGCCCCCGCGTCGTCCTCCCCCTGGGCCGCCTGCTGCTGTGCTGCGGCCGCTCGGGGGCCCTCGTGGGCCTGCGGGTGGCCGGCGACCCCCCCGGCGAGCTGTGGCTGGACGCCCGCGACGAGGCCTGCGCCGAGAGCCTCCGCGGCGCGCTGGCCCGGGCCCTCGGCCGCCCCCGCGGCCTTCCCGGGGACGAGGACCCGGCCCTCCGCCCGCGTAGCCACAGCCACTCCATCCTGCTCCCTTCCCCGCCGTCTCGCCCCTCCTCCTCCTCCCCCTCCTCGTCGTCGTCTTCGTCGGTCAAGCCCCCCGGGAGCCCCTCGCTCGGCCGCCTTCCGGGCCTAGGCTGGGTGTCGCCGCTGTTCCGCATCCGCGCCTCCAGCGAGGGAGACAAGACGATGCCGCAACGGTTCCGGCGTGGTGCCGGTGGTGCCGGCGCCGGCGGCGGTGGTGCCGCAGCGAGCCCCACTGGAATCCTGCGCTCGCTGTCTCTGCAGCGGGCGGCCAGGCACGCCGCCAGCAGACTCGGCTTGCAGCAGCAGCAGCAGAAGCAGCAGCAGAAGCAGCAGCAGCAGCAGCAGCAGCAGCAGCAAAGTGGCGGCAAGGCAGCAGCGGCAGCATCGGCGGTGACGCTGAAGATTCCGTCATCGTCGGCGGCGGCGTCCCACAATCCCACGCTGACCTACACCTTCTCGTCCTGTTCGTCAGCTTCCTCCTCCTCCTCCTGCTGCTCCTCTTCGGACGACGGCGGCGGCGGCGAGAAGGAGGAGAAGCTTGTGGTGAAGCGGAGGGTTCGTGGCGGTGGCGGTGGTGGCGGTGGCGGTGGTGGTGGCGGTGGTGGCGGTGGTTGCCTCGTGCTCAGCCGGTCTGCGCCGAACAGCGCCTGCGGTTTCAGACGTCCCACGGACAAATCCTTCCGCAAGCGAAGCTGTTCGGGCGTTGCCTCCTCCTCCTCATCCTCATCCTCCTCTGCCGCCACCGCTGCTGCTGCTGCCGCATCGTCATCATCATCAGCGGCACTTCTATCGCCGTCGTCGGCGGCGGCGGTGGCAAACGGAGGTCCTGTGGGACGTGATGGCGGGTGGAGGAGGTGCGCTAGTGCGGCGTACCCAGAGGATTACGGTGAACTGGACCTGAGCGGCGGACGTGGTGGAGGAGGTGGTGGTGGAGGTGGTGGAGGAGGTGGTGGTGGTGGAGGAGGTGGTGGAGGTGGAGGAGGTGGTGGACATGGAGGTGGTGGTGGTGGAGGAGGTGGTGGAGGAGGTGGTGGTGGTGGAGGAGGTGGTGGAGGTGGAGGAGGTGGTGGACATGGAGGTGGTGGTGGTGGAGGAGGTGGTGGGGGAAGAGGAGCAGCTGACTACATGCCCATGAATCCGTCGGCCAGGAAGGTAAAACGACTCACCTATTTTATATTCTACACCCCGTGTAAGGCCCCACACACCCTGGCTATTACAAATGACAGGTGATCATCATCATCATCATCGTCACGTGGAAAAAAATACGCACGACTGTCGATTGTAAATGTGGAGGGGGAAAAATTCGGAGCACCCGGACTCCACGGGAGAGAGAAAGAGAGACACGCAAACTTAAAATATATAAAATATGTAAATATATAGCAGGCATAGTTAGGTTCGGGATCGAATCCACGACCTCCTGCCTACCAGGCGAGGTAGTTAACATATCCTAGCCACCGTGGTGATGATGAGAGAGAGAAACGCAAACTCCAAATATACAGCAGGAGTCAGGGTCGGGATGGAACCCACGATCTCCTGTATACCAGGCGAGGTAGTTAACATCTCCTAGTCACCGTGATGATGATGACGAGAGAGAGAGAGAGACACGCAAACTCCAAATATACAGCAGGGCTCGGGATCGAACCCACGACCTCCTGCACACCAGGCGAGGTAGTCAACATCTCATAGCCACCGTGATGATGATGATGAGGTAGTCAACATCTCATAGCTACCGTGATGATGATGATGAGGTAGTCAACATCTCCTAGCCACCGTGATGATGATGCTGAGGTAGTCAACATCTCCCAGCCCCTGTGAGTTGACGATTGAGGCCCCCTCGCGCCCGTCCACAGATCCCCGGTTGTCCGCCGTGGTGGCTGTGAGTGCCATGGGAGGGGGTGGGGGGCTGGACAGCCGACTGCAATCGGCTTTCCCCCACCAATGGGGATGGCGCACAGCCACCACGGTGTTGTTACGTTACCGTAGTGTGCCGCAGTGTTAACCGCAGTGTAGCCGCGGCGTTACCGCAGTGATAACCACAATTATACCAGAGTGTGACCACGGCGTTACCGCAGTGTTAACCGCAGTGTAGCCGCGGCGTTACCGCAGCGATAACCACAACAATACCAGTGAGTAACCACGGCGTTACCACAGTGTTAACCGCAGTGTAGCCGCAGTGATAACCACAACAATACCAGTGAGTAACCACGGCGTTACCGCAGTGTTAACCGCAGTGTAGCTGCAGCGTTACCGCAGCGATAACCACAATTATACCAGAGTGTTACCGCAGTGTAGCCGCAGCGTTACCGCAGTGATAACCACAACAATACCAGTGTGTAACCTCCTTCCCTCCGTCACTCCGTCACTCCCCCCCTCCCCTCCGCTCCCCTCCCCTCCGCTCCCCTCCCGCAGGAGGAGCCCACACAGGGGGGCTACATGCTCATGTCCCCCACCGCCCCTCGCCAGGAAGACGGCTACGTCCCCATGCAGTTCGCTCCTCGCCCCAGCGCGCAACAGAAGCAGCAGCAGCATCAGCACCACCAGCAGCAGCAGCATCAGCACCAGCACCACCACCAGCAGGACCACCACCACCATCAGCCACAGCAGCAGCAGCAGATGGTAGCGACGAATCCTGACGCCGATGACTCCAAGGGGGGCGGCAAGATGGCCGCCACGCCGGCAGCGTCCGTGGGGGGTGGCGGCAAGATGGATGCCGCCACCATGTCGTCGAAGCCGGGTGCGGCCGCCTCAACCGCGACGGCGGGCGGTGACAGTGACGGCGGCGGTGATGGCGGCGGTGACGGCGGCGGTGACGGCGTCACCGCCGTGGCTTCCGTCGTCTGGAAGGGGGGCGGCAATATGGCCGACACCAGCATGGCGTCGAAGGCGAGCGGTGGCGGCGTGGCCGCCTCAACCGCGACAGGGGGCGGCGGCGGCGGCGGCGACGTCACCGTCACCGCCACCGTCACCGCCGTGGCTTCCGTCGTCCGGAAGGGGGGCGGCAACATGGCCGCTAGCGGGGAACCGGTGCGGCTGAGGCTCGGCGACGGCTCGCGCGGCTCCACGGGCGACTACGTGCCGATGAGGGCCGTGCCGGGCGACGGCGCCGGCAGCTACGAGGTCATGAGCTTTCCCGGGACCCGGTGCGGGAATGTGGAGTTGGCGGCGGGGGCTCCTGCGGCGAGATTCGGAGTCGATCCCGACGAGGGTGCGAAGGTCGTGCGTGTCGGAGAACAGGTGAGGAGGGTGGGCGGCTGGGTGTGTGTGGGTGTGGGTGTGTGGGCGGGTGTGGGTGTGGGTGGGTGGGTGTGGGTGGGTGTGGGTGTGTGGGCGGGTGTGGGCGGGTGTGGGTGTGTGGGTGTGGGTGGGTGTGGGTGGGTGGGTGTGGGTGGGTGTGGGTGGTGGGCGGGTGGGTGTGGGTGGGTGGGGGTGGGTGGGTGGGCGGGTGGGTGTGGGTGGGTGGGGGTGGGTGGGTGGGTGGGGGTGGGTGGGTGGGTGTGGGTGGGTGGGTGGGTGTGGGTGGGTGGGTGGGTGTGGGTGGGTGTGGGTGGGTGTGTGTGGGTGTGGGTGTGTGGGCGGGTGTGGCGGGTGTGGGTGTGGGTGGGTGTGGGTGGGTGTGGGTGGGTGTGGGTGGGTGTGGGTGGGTGTGGGCGGGTGTGGGTGTGTGGGTGTGGATGGTGTGGTGGTGGGTGTGGGTGGGTGGGTGGGTGGGTGGGCGGGTGGGGGTGAGTGGGTGGGGGTGGGTGGGTGGGGGTGGGTGTGGGTGGGTGTGGGTGTGTGGGCGGGTGTGTGGGTGTGGGTGGGTGTGGGTGGGTGTGGGTGGGTGTGGGTGGGTGTGGGCGGGTGTGGGTGGGTGTGGGCGGGTGTGGGTGGGTGTGGGCGGGTGTGTGGGTGGGTGGGTGTCCGGCAAATAACAACCTCTCACCTCCTCGGCTGTGCCGGACGCTGCTTTATTGACCTGGTCAAGGCCTATGATACCATCAACAGGCCTGGGCTCTGGGTTATTCTTCGTGCTTTCGGAGTCCCTGACTCTCTGCTCATGATCATTAAGGACCTTCATGATGGTGAGCGGGCTCGGGTAAAACTACATGGCCGGGAGTTGGAGCCAGAGCCATTCTCTGTTCACCTTGGGGTGCAACAGGGATGTCCTCTGGCTCCCATATTATTGCGACCACGTAGTTCGTGAAGGCCTTCGATGGCTGTACCGGGGGAATTTCCATCTGGTACAGATACAATGGGAGGGTGATCGATGCCCGGTCAAGGGATGACTCCCTTATGGGTCAACCATGTTATGTATGCCGATGATCTGGTGATTGCTGCTCACTCAGAGGAGGAGTTGGAGGCACTGCTGCTGAACCTGGAGCGTGCCACTAAGAGGTGGAGTCTTGCCATCAACCCCGCAAAAACTAAGCACCTGCCTGGGTATTTTGTACCATCGGACACTCCACCCCCACAACTCCCAATTGGTGATGGGGCAGTTATGGAGAGAGTGGAGAGTTTCCATACCTGGGCAGTGTGCTCATGACCGGCTCCGGTTTGACAGCAGAGGTCTCACTTTGAATCTTTTCATCGGCCGCGTAACGCTGTGTGGAAGCTGCCTGGTATTTTCGGCCACGGTCATGCCCTCCCTTCTCTACGCTAGCGAAACGTGGACCCCCCTAATGGAGCATCTTCACCAGTTAGAAACATTTAGGCTGGCGTGCCTACGATCCATCCTGGGTTTAACCTGCAGGCTGGATTGTGTGAGGAGCTCACAAATCCTTGAAAGATCTGGACACAGTCCCATTGGTGAGACAAAGGCGGCCGGGCGTGGCGCGCCACAGTGCCGGCCTTCATAGGCGCTGCTGCTGCTGCTAACAGCTCTTGCCCCACCAGTCTGCCGAGGCTGTACGGGGGACCTTTTTCTCCGTTCCGAGGTGTGAGGCGGGCGGCGTTGGCAGGGCGGTCACCGCTACTCAGCGGCACCACTTGCCCAGCGGCGCGCCGAGGCGACGTGGGAAGCCGCCATCTTCATTCTCGTCTCAACTCCTTCTCTTGCCAGGTGCGGCGAAGACGCAGCTCCGAGACTTTCCCTCCCCACGTCACCGTGACCCCGGCCGCGACCCCGGCCGTGACCCCGGCCGTGACCCCGGCCGCGACCCCGGCCGTGACCCCGGCCGCAGACCCTGGGGGTGAGCCCCAGGCCGGGACTCGGGGAGACGCGGAGGAGACGGCAGCGGCCGCTGCTCTGCTCGTCGCCACGGAGACGTAGAGGGGGGGACGCGCGGGGACACGCGGGGGACGCGGGGACACGGGGGGAGGGAGACACGGGAGACGCGGGGACGAGGGGAGGGAGACACGGGGGGAGGGGGACGAGGGAGACGCGGGGACGAGGGGAGGGAGACACGGGGGGAGGGGGACGAGGGAGACGCGGGGACGAGGGGACGAGGGGAGGGAGACACGGGGGACATGGGAGATGCGGGGAGGGAGACACGGGGTCTGAGGGTCCGTGTCTAGAGTGGAGACCGGGTCTCTCTCTCTCTGTCCCCCCCCCCCCCCTTCGTGAGTGAGTGATGGCGAGGATTTTGATCCCCGGGTTCTAAGTTTTTTTTTTATCCCAGTGTCTCACTAGCAGTGTCTCACCACCAGTATCTCTCTACCCAGTGTCTCACTAGCAGTGTCTCACCACCAGTATCTCTCTACCCAGTGTCTCACTAGCAGTGTCTCACCACCAGTATCTCTCTACCCAGTGTCTCACCACCAGTATCTCTCTACCCAGTGTCTCTCTACCCAGTGTCTCACCACCCAGGGTCTCTCTACCCAGTGTCTCACTACCCAGTGTCTCACTAGCAGTGTCTCTCTACCCAGTGTCTCTCTACCCAGTGTCTCACCACCCAGTGTCTCTCTACCCAGTGTCTCACTACCCAGTGTCTCACCACCAGTATCTCTCTACCCAGTGTCTCACTACCCAGTGTCTCACTACCCAGTGTCTCACTACCCAGTGTCTCACTACCCAGTGTCTCACCACCCAGTGTCTCACTAGCAGTGTCTCACCACCCAGTGTCTCACCACCCAGTGTCTCACCGCCCAGTGTCTCACTACCCAGTGTCTCACCACCCAGTGTCTCACCACCCAGTGTCTCACCGCCCAGTGTCTCACCGCCCAGTGTCTCACTACCCAGTGTCTCACTACCCAGTGTCTCACCACCCAGTGTCTCACCACCCAGGGTCTCTCTACCCAGTGTCTCACCACCCAGTGTCTCACTAGCAGTGTCTCACTATCCAGTATCTCACCACCCAGTGTCTCACCACCCAGTGTCTTACTACCCAGTGTCTCACTACCCAGTGTCCCACCACCCAGTGTCTTACTACCCAGTGTCTCACTACCCAGTGTCCCACCACCCAGTGTCTTACTACCCAGTGTCTTACTACCCAGTGTCTCACCACCCAGTGTCTCACCACCCAGTGTCTTACTACCCAGTGTCTCACTACCCAGTGTCCCACCACCCAGTGTCTCACCACCCAGTGTCTGTAAACCACAGATGACAACGCCAAAAGGCGAATCGCGGTTACGAACTATTCTTCATTTGATTATACTCATCATTTTGGATCCCGCCAAAAAGTGGCGCATTTACATTGTACGCGATCCTACCCCAAAGCACCATTCTGGGACTTTTGTTACGGATAATATTGATCGCGAGAGGCCTTAACTGCTGCGTGTTTAAACTACTATTGCGACGATTATCGCTACGGTACGGTGGCTTTATTTGTATCCACACACTGCTGCTGCTGCTGCAACTGCACACAGCCCGCTTTGCCAGTCCACTGCTGGATGAACGGCTGCACCTAGGCCCCCCAATCCCCCTACCATCCGCCCCCCACCCCACCGGTTTGACCATACTTCACCACGCTGGTCACAAGAAATCAAAGACAAAGATCCCCTATATGGCCTTAACAGACTGCAGGGGCAAGTGCTGTTAGCGAGTAGCAGCAGCTATGAAGGCTGGTACTGTGACACACGAGGGGGTGGGTGGCCAGCACCACGCCCAGTTGCCTTTGTATCCCCAGTGGCTTTGTTTACACACTGCACCAGGTACTTATTTGAGGCTGAGTCGACCTAGGGGAGGCCCAGGACCGGTTCAGATAATTGTCACCGGTGTTGGCCGTGAGCGGGAACCGAACTCGGGTCGCCGGGTTCGTAGCGCAGCGTAGCGCTAACCACTACACTGCCGTTCCCTACACACACAGACACACACAGACACACACAGACACACACAGACACACACAGACACAGACAGACACAAACACACAAACACACACAGACACACGCAGACACACGCAAACACACGCAGACACACGCAGACACACGTAGACACACGCAGACACGCGCAGACACACGCAGACACGCAGACACACACAGACACACACAGACACCTGCTGGGTCTGCCCCGTGACCTCCCGCCAGCGGGCGTTCGACATTTCACGTGGCCTTATAGTGCACCTAGCATGGCACAGGCGCCGCGATGACGTCACCACTACTTATGGCGGTGTGCTAACCGCTGTGTGTGATTCTGTGTGTGTCGGTGTGTGTCTGTGTGTGTGTCTGTCTATGTGTGTGTCTGTGTGTGTGTCTGTGTGTGTGTGTGTGTCTGTGTGTGTGTCTGTGTGTGTGTCTGTGTGTATGTGTGTGTCTGTGTGTATGTGTGTGTCTGTGTGTGTCTGTGTGTGTGTCTGTTTGTGTGTGTGTCTGTGTGTGATTCTGTGTGTGTGGTGGTGCAACAGTGTGCTAACCGCTGTGTGTGTGTCTGTGTGTGTCTGTGTGTGTGTCTGTGTGTGTGTGTGTCTGTGTGTGTCAGTGTGTGTGTCTGCGTGTGTGTGTGTCTGTGTGTGTCGGTGTGTGTGTCTGTGAGTAGACATCTCCCGGTTGATGTCTTTCCCCCGTGCCTTTCTTTCCCACGAATGTTAAGATTTTTTGTGTCCCCCTCTCGACGGAGCGGAATCTCCGAAAGCTGCTCGGATCTCGTTGGCCCACAAGCGGCCGGGTGGGAAATTTAATTTTCATTTTCGTTTCGCCATCGCCGAGATTGACGGCGTGCGCACGCTCGCACCGAACCCACGAATCGAGGGGTTCGTGTCGGGCGCCGATCGCGTGAAGTGTGACACGGCCCAGTCGGTTTGGCGGCTCTGTTGACACGTCAACAAAACACGTGGTGCAAACTCGTTACTGGTACAGCACTAACCGGTTGTGTGTTGGAGAGTTACACCACCACACATAGACCCACAGACTCACCACCACCAAACAGAAACCCACAGACTCACCACCACCACACAGAGACTCACAGACTCACCATACACCACACAGAGATCCCCACAGACTCACCACCACCACACAGAGACCCACAGACTCACCACCACCACCACACAGAGACCCACAGACTCACCACCACCACACAGAGACTCACAGACTCACACAGAGACCCACAGACTCATCACCACACAGAGACCCACAGACTCACCACACAGAGACCCACAGACTCACCACACAGAGACCCACAGGCTCACCACACAGAGACCCACAGACTCATCACCACACAGAGACCCACAAACTCATCACACAGAGACCCACAGACTCACCACACAGAGACCCACAGACTCACCCACGCAGAGACCCACAGACTCACCACCACCACACAGAGACCCACAGACTCACCACACAGAGAACCACAGACTCGCCACACAGAGACCCACAGACTCACCACACAGAGACCCACAGACTCACCACACAGAGACCCACAGACTCACCACACAGAGACCCACAGACTCACCACCACACAGAGACCCACAGACTCACCCCACAGATACCCACAGACTCACCATCACCACACAGACCCACAGACTCACCACCACCACACAGAGACCCACAGACTCACCACCACCACCACACAGAGACCCACAGACTCACCACACAGAGACCCACAGACTCACCACCACCACACAGACACAGACTCACCACCACCACACAGAGACACACAGACTCACCACCACCACCTACACAGAGTGTGGAGCTCCTCCCAATTGGTCGACGCGAGTGGACGCCCTTTGCACATCGTGAGCTTATTTAATGCAAATCTAATAAATAATTAAACATTATTATGAGAGTTGGTGGTGTTGTTGTGATGATGGTGATGCGACTTGCTTCACCCTCGGGGTGATCGTCCTGGTCCACAGGAGGCCGTGGGTTCGATCCCGACCCTGACGACGCCTGCTGCTACTGCTGCTGTGGATTTGCGTTTAGTTTGGGGTCTCTACGGGACCCCACCCCTCAAAACGCCCCCCCCCCCCAAACCTCCCTCAAATTGTGCCCCCCCCCCGCCTTCCTTAACCCCCTCCCCCAAAACGCCCCCCCCCCTTCGCAACCCCCCCACCAAAATATCCCGCCCAAATCGCCCCCCCCTCCTCAATCCCCTCCTCCAAATGCCCCCCCCAAAATCGCGCCCCTTGTGAGTGAGTGGGTGAGTGGGTGGGTGAGTGAGTGGGTGAGTGGGTGAGTGAGTGAGTGGGTGTGTGGGTGGGTGAGTGAGTGGGTGAGTGAGTGGGTGGGGGAGTGAGTGGATGGCTGGGTGAGTGAGTGGGTGAGTGAGTGAGTGGGTGTGTGGGTGGGTGAGTGGCTGGGTAAGTGGGTGAGTGAGTGAGTGAGTGGGTGAGTGAGTGGGTGAGTGAGTGGGTGGGGGAGTGAGTGGATGGCTGGGTGAGTGCATGGGTGAGTGATTGAATGGGTGGGTGAGTGGCTGGGTGGGTGAGTGGGTGGGGGAGTGAGTGGATGGCTGGGGGAGTGAGTGGATGGCTGGGTGAGTGAGTGGGTGGCTGGGTGAGTGAGTGGCTGGGTGAGTGAGTGGGTGAGTGGGTGTGTGGGTGGGTGAGTGAGTGGGTGTGTGAGTGAGTGAGTGGGTGAGTGTGTGAGTGAGTGGGTGTGTGAGTGAGTGGGTATGTGAGTGAGTGGGTGAGTGGGTATGTGAGTGAGTGGGTGAATGAGTGTGAGTGATTGGGTGGGTGAGTGGGTATGTGAGTGGGTGAATGAGTGTGAGTGATTGGGTGGGTGGGTGAGTGGGTATGTGAGTGGGTATGTGAGTGAGTGGGTGAATGAGTGTGAGTGATTGAATGGGTGGGTGAGTGAGTGGGTGAGTGGGTATGTGAGTGAGTAGGTGAGTGGGTATGTGAGTGAGTGGGTGAATGGGTGTGTGAGTGAGTAGGTGTGTGAGTGAGTGGGTGGGGAGGAGGTGGTATCACTCACCCACCTATTCACCCACTCACTCTCCCACTCATCCACTCACCCACTCATCCACTCACTCACCCACCCACTCATCCACTCACTCTCCTACTCACCCACTCTCCCACTCACCCACCCACTAACTCACTCATCCACTCACCCGCCCACTCACTCATCCACTCACCCACTCACTCACTCATCCACTCACTCATCCACTCACTCACTCACCCACCCACTCACTCATCCACTCACTCACCCACCCACCCACTCACTCATCCACTCACTCACCCACCCACTCACTCTCCCACTAACTCATCCACTCACCCACTCACTCACTCCCCCACCCACTCACTCACTCCCCCACCCACTCACTCCCCCATCCACTCACCCACCCACTCACTCATCCACTCACTCACCCACCCACTCACTCATCCACCCACTCACTCATCCACCCACTCACCCACACACTCACCCACTCACTCATCCACTCATCCACTCACTCTCCCACCCACTCACCCACTCACTCATCCACTCACTCATCCACTCACTCATCCACTCACCCACTCACTCTCCCACTCACTCATCCACTCACTCATCCACTCACCCACCCACTCACTCATCCACTCACTCACCCACCCACTCACTCTCCCACTAACTCATCCACTCACTCACCCACTCACTCACTCCCCCACCCACTTCACTCACTCCCCCATCCACTCACTCATCCACTCACCCACCCACTCACTCATCCACTCACTCACCCACCCACTCACTCATCCACCCACTCACTCATCCACCCACTCACCCACACACTCACCCACTCACTCATCCACTCATCCACTCACTCTCCCACCCACTCACCCACCCACTCACTCTCCCACTAACTCATCCACTCACTCACCCACTCACTCACTCCCCCACCCACTCACTCACTCCCCCATCCACTCACTCATCCACTCACCCACCCACTCACTCATCCACTCACTCACCCACCCACTCACTCATCCACCCACTCACTCATCCACCCACTCACCCACACACTCACCCACTCACTCATCCACTCATCCACTCACTCTCCCACCCACTCACCCACCCACTCACACACTTCAAATACACAGCAGCAGGCCTCAGGATCGGGATCGAACCCACGACCTCCTGCGTACCAGGCGAGGTCGTCAACATCTCCAGGCCACGGCAACGCCCTTGAGCACGTGGCACGATCGCTCCTGTGACGTCACGGGCGGCATACCACGTGGGTGGCCGGTAGGAGGCAGCAGAGCAACGTGTGGACCACGTGACCCCTCAAGGCACCGGCAGGGGGCAGTGGAGGCGTGGAGATGTCCCATGGCGCCTCGAGGCAGGAGTGAAACGTCATTGACAAGACTCTGGTGGACGTAATCACCAGCGGCACGTCGTACTACTCAGTAAATACACTACACACGACACTATACACTACACTATACACACTACACTATACACTACACTATACACACTACACTATACACTACACTATACACACTACATTATACACTACACTATACAGTATACACTCACTACACACTACACTATACACTACACACGACACTATACACTACACTATACACTACACTATACTATACACACTACATTATACTATACACTATACAGTATACACTCACTACACACTACACTATACACTATACACACTACATTATACTATACACTATACACTACACTATACACTACACTATACACACTACATTATACACTACATTATACACTACACTATACAGTATACACTCACTACACACTATACACTACACTATACACTACACACTACACTATACACTACACTATACACTATACACACTACATTATACTATACACTACACTATACAGTATACACTCACTACACACTACACACGACACTATACACTACACTATACACACTACATTACACACACTACATTGCACACTACATTACACACTCTTCACTACACATTACACTACACTATACACTACACTATACACTACACACTACACTATACACTATACACTACACTATATACTACACTATACACTATACACACTACATTATACTATACACTACACTATACAGTATACACTCACTACACACTATACACTACACTATACAGTATACACTCACTACACACGACACTATACACTACACTATACACACTACATTACACACACTACATTGCACACTACATTACACACTCTTCACTACACATTACACTACACTATACACTACACACTACACTATACACTACACACTACATTACACACTACACTATACATTACTATACTAGTAACTATTTGGCGTTTTGTTTACGTAACAACTCCCTTACTAATTGGCTGTGTCGGGTCGTGGAGGGTTTCGACGCGAAATTTACACTTAACTTGAGTGGGTGAGTAGGTGAGTGAGTGGTGAGTGAGTGGGTGGGTGGGGGAGTGAGTGGATGGCTGGGTGAGTGAGTGGGTGAGTGAGTGAGTGGGTGTGTGGGTGGGTGAGTGGCTGGGTGAGTGAGTGGGTGAGTGAGTGAGTGGGTGAGTGAGTGGGTGAGTGAGTGGGTGGGGGAGTGAGTGGATGGCTGGGTGAGTGCATGGGTGAGTGATTGAGTGGGTGTGTGGGTGGGTGAGTGGCTGGGTGGGTGAGTGGGTGGGGGAGTGAGTGGATGGCTGGGTGAGTGAGTGGGTGGCTGGGTGAGTGAGTGGCTGGGTGAGTGAGTGGGTGAGTGAGTGAGTGGGTGTGTGGGTGGGTGAGTGGCTGGGTGGGTGAGTGGGTGGGGGAGTGAGTGGATGACTGGGTGAGTGAGTGGGTGGCTGGGTGAGTGAGTGGGTGAGTGAGTGAGTGGCTGGGTGAGTGAGTGAGTGGGTGAGTGGCTGGGTGAGTGGGTGAGTTAGTGGGT